AAACCTGCTTTGTAAATGTTGCATTTGAATAAATTCCACTGTTTGTGAACTCGGCTACTTGTTTGGGGGAGGCGATCGGACCTGCGATCCACAGACTGTTCGTGAATCCGATACTGCCAGAGTCGAGCTTATAGGTGATCACACTATTTGGGGTTGAGCGGAATGCTCAAGTTTCTGTATTCATCAATAAGGGGGTTTCTCCACAGTTTGGCTGAAGAGCAGGACAAAGGGAGGGGAGACTGAGTGGAGCCATGAGCCCAGTGGGACAAAAAGAGCCATCTGCAAGGAGATGGGGCCTTTACAAAGGAGGGAAATAGGGCAATTGCCCCACATTCTTCAGCAAGGGGGACAAAGGAGTTGGTGAGCTCAGGTGAGAGCAGATGGCGGGAGGCCGGAGTTCGGTGTAGGCGGGCCGGGAAGGCTGTAACTTCAGCGGCGTCTTCCCGCGCGAACCTCCACGCTTTCCCCACCTAAACAGCCTCCAAAACCCCAGCGGCCTCCCTCAGGACCGCGCCAGCGCGAGACGCTTGCGTTACGTGGGCACCCGCCGGCGACTGTGTAGCGAGCGTCGGTCCCGCTCCGCCGCCGTGGACACCACACTGTGCCGAGGCGCTGGCAAAAGTCAGCAGAGGAAGCTATAGGTTTCCTCAAGTTTAAAAATAAACTGCTGCTTTGCTTTCTGAAAGCACGTGCTGTCTGGTCCATAGTAACATTTTGTGTAGTTTGGGCCAAAAAAAAAGGCAGCTTATAGACAAGCAAGGTAACAGGGGCCCTCTGAGCTGGTCATACATCACATTCCATGGGAGAGTAACCCCATCTTATTTCTCCCGTACTCAGGCTATGCATTCTTCTCATATCTAACGTATGTATCAAACTGTCTCCCTGAGCTGCTCAACTGGTCTTCGGAGCCAAGGAAGTTAACTGGGTGTATCTCCTGCACAGATAAAGGGCTACCGTAAGTAATTTATGGAGCAAGATGGGGTGTGAACCTGGAGGCAATGGGCTGTATTAAACCCAGACGTATACAGGCCTTGGCTTTTATTAGGAGAGCCAGCAGTTGCAATAAAAGATACTGTCTCTCCCACCAAATTTTGTGTTTGTAATAAAAGATATTACTTCTCCCACTGAGTTTTATCTCATTAGACATCAAAGCTACAACATAACTAATCTGCACGAGAGTAAAACGCTAGCTGCGAAGAAAGAGGAGCTTCTTTCAAAACTGCTTCTTTTCTACTACTTCTTACTGTTCAAGTTCATAAATGTATGTATGTACATTTATATAGATTTCTTGCAAACCCTGTGGAGGAAGGTTCTAGGAACTTCTGCACTTCTTATTAAGAAACGTTCTTTTCTCACTGATTCAACTGGTTTTGTTCTTAATTTCCTATGAAAGTGTGTATATGGCTGGGACTATGTGACATGAATGCAGCCCCAGTGAAACAGAAACACCTTTACATTAAAACAAGTAGAGCAACAGTCATATTTTGTACTCACAGAAATACAGGCAGCTTCTATAAAACACTGGCACAAAATCAACCTCTAAAACACTGCTGAATTTGCTTATAACTTTTCCACTATTTACTTGCATCTTGGTAAGTGCATTAGGTATGATGATATTGAGAACTCTTCATAGTAGAAAAGTGATCACTGTAAGTTGATACCAAGTATCCTCATCATCCTAGCATGTCACATGGGCATATATGGAGGACTTGGATTTTTCAGAGATACTGTTTGTTTAAAACAAGTTATTTATAACATCGATTATTTTCATTTTACAAGTTGATTAAAAATCTTTTTTATTCTCCTAAATATATCTATACTAAGGACTTTGCCTATTTGATCACGTTACAGTTCTTTTAAATAAAGTGTGTGTCTTTGTTATACATACAAAGAAATGCCTGCAGTGCAAAATCTTGTCTTAATTGTTACTTGCTAATCCATGGTTAGTTTATCTTCCTGTCAATGCTAGAATATATAAAAGCACAGGTCAATGTTTGCAAGTCAGCATTTTTATTAAACTAATACAACTGGAAGCAACAGATAACCTTCTGGATCTTTATGCCTCTCTTCAGGCTTGAAACAGAAGCAGTAAATTTCGAAAGCAATTCTCAACTTGCACTAACTACTCCAATTTTAACTAGATATTCAAATAATCTGAAAAGTAGGCAGTGGTTACCAGGGAATAGGTGGGAAATGTTAGTAAAAACATGGGTAGTAGGATGATTCTCTTAGAAAGAAAGAGGAAAGGCAGGTAAAGTTATAGCTTATGAAAGTAAGCAAAGCCACGGTAGAAAGGTAAATACCATTAAACCAATCTCTAGCTAATATATTAAAAAATTCAACAGAGTTATACATTCTAGGTCTGAAACCCGCATTCTGCAATTCTTCCCTTGATCTGCTTTTCTTCCCTTGAGGATCAGGGCCAAAAACTCAGAGATGAGGTTGTTACTTTGCCAGAAGTGCCAGTGCTAGGTGGTAAAAGTGTGTTTCTGTCCTTCGTTAATGGGTTTATATCAACATGCAGTGGTTATTTTGTTGTACCTAGTGTCCAAGAGAGTTTTTGTTAAACTACATGAAACATTACTATAACATTAACTATACTACTATCCACAAAAAAAGTCTTGTTTATGACCTTAGACCAGACCTTAGAGCAGTGACCATAAAATCATGAAACATTTATGCAAACAGTGACAGCCTGTTGGTTTAGATATGCACATCCAAACAGCAGACAATTCTAGTACTACTCAGGTATTTTTATTAATGGGAAAGCACCAGTGAGATTTTAATTCTGGTTATGTTTCCAGTCACATTTTATCAGCTGACATTTGTATTTTTACGCCTTTGATTTTTCTTCCAGCAATGGAAAAGAGCATAGGGGATTTAGTGACACATTTTATCTGTGTAGATAAGATGCATAGTTGGTAGCCCTTCTTCATTCTCAGAACATTTGGATGTTGGATAATTTTAGCAAGCAGCAGACAGGCTGACCTTTGTTGTGCAAGCCAGATGCAATTTGCAGACAAATATAGGTATTTAAATAATATCTTGGCTTCTCTCATATTGAAATCCTGTGACTCCAACAGATAGTCAAGAACAAAACAGTGTGATGAAGAACAGAATTAGATGACTGCTGATAAATCTTCCTAGCTGGAGGGCACACACCATATACTTAACCAGAGAAATAAAGAAGTTTTTTGAAGCAGGAAGACCTCTCTATTGCTAAATACATTAGTCAAACTGAGTTGTTGAAGACTGGAAGAGAGTCCAAATCCTCTTAATCCAGGGGGAAAGGATTTACCAGTAATTTTAAATGAAGTAGCTTTAAGTAGTATCGCAAACAATATATGATCTTACTCTTCAGATAATTCGTGGAAAAGATTTGTAATATTTGTATTTGTCTTGAAAGCCATAATCCTCTGGTATACTTTTGCTTGACATTAAATATAAATAGATATTCAATATGAGGGTCAATTTAAAAACTTTGTTAAACTAACAAATTACAGATTATGCTATTAAAGAGGGAAGAAGGCAGGAAGTTCTTCATTTCTGTCACTGTACTGTGCCAATTCTATGTGTAACCCTTATATTGCTTAATAGTATTTTAAATACCCTAATTTGAAAGAGGACAGATTATTGGCCTAATCTGGGGGGAAAAACCTCCAGACCGCTAATAAATGAAAAGTATTATCTTTAGTAGAGGCTTTGTGATATTTTCAGTAGGCTAAACCCTGAGCAGTACAGGATTTATGCCTTGGAGCTTGCTGGATGTGAAAAGCCTTTTAAAATAATGTGTTGCACAGGCAATGATCTTTCAGTGAGCTTCCAACCACCTAACAAAGATTTAAATGTTCCAAAAGTAATCTCATGCAGATGGCCCTGGCAAGAATAAAAGACCCGCCCTTCTACTCCCTGCTTATCAAACACACAAAACTGGCTCAGTTATTTATTTATTTTGAAACTTTGGGGATTTTTTTTGCACAATGTCGCTTCTTACACATAACAACTAGCCAATGTTAATCTTAGTGTTGATTTCTAGCATTCAGTATCAAAAAGTATACCTGTAACACTGATAAAGTTTAATTTACAAAATTGGCACATCATCCAAGTAAGATTTATTAAAGGTTTAGTCATAATATCTATACAATGTCTAGAAAAATACCATGTTAATTTTAAAAGGAACAGTATGAAACTTTATGATACAATACAAAGACTATGTTAGCTGTCACTAAAGGCGATGTTGTATTATAAATACTCACTTTAAGCTTAAAATACATTATGTCAGTTTTAATAGAAATATCCCAAAAGACCTCACCCCTCTTCCAGACTTCCGTCATGAGCACAATCCTCAAGGTATTTTAGAATACAAAGCACACTGTAGGTAAATATTTACTGCAAAGTTCGTGATCGCCAAGATATAAAGCTAAAATAGGTATTCCCAGCATAGCAGGAGGTAACCAGGAAGGCAAAGAACTGCAGAAAGAAAAAAAAAAACAATGAAATATTAGAAAATATATTTTAGAACATCCTCATCTCTATGAATAATAATGGAGTTTGTGAAGAGGAGAAATGGCAAACTGAATGGGCAGTCTCTTTCCTCCTAGTGCTTGTGTGGCATCACACTCAACATTGTGTGACCAGGCTTACATGTCCATAGAAGCATGTGCCTAGAAGCAGCCAAAACAGGGCCTATATCTCGATTCCTCCTCTCCACATCTCGCTGCCTCGGTGCAGATCTTGCAGCCGAGGTGCCACTTGCTGCCTGGCACATCCCGTGCTGGTGAAGAGCAGGGCATAGCCCGGGGTCAGCGAGGGCTCAAGCCAACACTGCTGCCCTGCTCCAGGGACTGCTGGAAACCCACCTGTATCCTCGGTTTATCACACTTTGCATCCAAACAGGCTGTTTACAGGGAAAACTTGGGTTCAAAATGCAGGTCTAAACATGTGCTTGAACAGCGGCAAACTGGCTCAGCGCAAACCTGCCCCATCAGCCTGGACTGATTTCCATGGGCCCGAATGCTGGTTTTCCTCAGTGCAAATACTAGTGGCTGCCAGCAAGTTGAGTTACTACCTTTTTGTTAGAAATTGATTGCAGAACAAGCCTTCTTGGTTCATTTTCCGTTTAAAGACTGTAAAAACTGTATCTATAAAACTATAGATATATAAAACTACATGCTGTGGCTTCTAACAGTCCTTGCAGCATAGGGACACGGAGACAACAGAGCAGCTGGCAACTCATTCAGCTGTACTGATCGAGTCCAACTTGGTGCCAGCAGTAGAGTTCCTGTTAAGCACTGCAGCTTCTTCAAAACAGACAACTTATGGTAGGGCCATAATGTTCTGTGCAGGTAGCTGAACCAAATAAAGCTGAACCTTGCACAGGGTTAGCACTACTTTTCTCGAAGGTGAGCAGGGATGGCACAAGAGGCTGTGCCAATATCCATCCTTGGAAAAACTCAAAACTCAACTGGAAACTGGAAGCCCTGAGCAATGTGTTAGCCCTCCTTCAAGCAAGGGATCAGACCAGACAATCTTTGTAGGTCCATTATAGCCTAAATTCTTCTCTGCTTCTAACAACATCTCTGGATAAATGCTTCAGGTGACAGTAAGGCACTACTGTGCATGTACATAGGCAGTAAATCTAAATCCTCCAGTAGAGGATTCTTGGTGAACCTTGGTCTGTAGCAGCAGAAATGGTAGATGGTTATGTAAAATGACTAGGAAAACGCAGCATTCCTATTTTGTTTCTTATGAAATAAAGCTCTATTTTTTTCCACCAGAGAAAGCTTTTTGGGGGATAAATAATTCACTAAATTCTCACAAACCCATATAAAAATCCATAATGGATCGAGACAGCAAGAATCTACAATTAATAGAGTTTATGCAGACAGCATGTTAGATGAATAATATTAAAAGGTATTAAAAGAGTTTCCAAACATCCCTGGAGATATTGAGCCTTCCTGCACTTTGCATAAAATCTGAATCAGTGAGGAAGTATCTAGCACCAAACAAGCTCCTGTCAGCAGCACTAGCTGAGTAATCGCTCCGTAGTTGTGAAGTGCCATAAGGAGAAAACCTGGAACGCCACAGAAGCAACAGGGATGCAGTTATCCAACTCCCAAGACCAAAATAGAGCAGGTGCTCAAGTCTCTGTGTTCATCACTATACAAAATAAGCTGCAGACAAAAGGCAGGACTTGTGAACAGGCCGAATGGGACAACTGCAAATGCACTAACAGGCAACAAAGTAGCTGTTATTCAGACTTAATCTATTAAATGAATTTGAACAGTGCTGCAATAAGCAAAGAGTTGCCCTAACTATCTAGAGAAGGTCTTCACCAATTCAGGAAGTGATGAAGCTTTTTAAAAATGTGTTGTTGTTTTTTTCCCCACACTAACTTGTTGTCTTGAGTCTCAAAATTTAGGTAGGAAGGCAGTAATGTCACACTAATTAACGATTTGCATCCACTTTAAAACACTTGGACGTTGCATCATCGTTACCCACCCGACCCAGAGAAAAGGTTATTGGGGGTGACGGAGGGAACAGAAGACGGTTGCAGAAAGAGCAGCCCCCCTTCAGGAGCTGCCCAATAGAGCTGTGTGCACGCCTCCGTTCCCAAAACTGTGAATGCACATTATCAGCTGCAGCAGGAAGTCAGCTGAAGCAGTTTATGCTGCTTTGGAGTTACTTAAGTGCACTGAAGTGATTCAGTGCTCACTCAATTTGTTAACTCTGATGCCCTGGCTATGACCTCTGCAATACATGAGGACAGGGGAGAGGAAAGCAGGACCATCTTGAAAACATTGCCTCTTTACCTCCTCATTACCTTGAAAACATTACAAGCCTCCTCTGCTGCTGCTGCCGTGTGTGGCTGAAGGTACTCAGACTTGCTAGTTTCCTCCAAAAACTATGAGCTAAGTTACAGCTATTTGTAGATTTTGCGCATAAGCTTCTGCATCAGCCGGTATGTTTTCAAACCCAGGACACGTGCACTTCAATCCTCACCTCCAGAGAACCTTCTTTTGACATACCTTTATTAGATCTAGAACCCATTTAAACAGAAAATGAACTCACGGAAGAAGCTGCCCAGCTGTTGTAATTGTGACTGTCCAGGTCCTTGGTGACTGACGATGCATCTACAATGGCAGCAATGAGGTACAAAATGAAGGCACTCCCATTAAAACACAGACCCTGCCACAAAGCAAAAGAAAACAATCAATTCATGTGCAAATACCTCTGATGCCATTTTATATTGCAACATGACAAAACCGTCCCCTGAAATATAATGTGCACACACAATGTGATTCTTAATTATCTTTCTACTCGTGATCTATAAAATTTAAATTGAACTGCTTATTTTAACACTGATGTGCATTAAAGCACCTTTTGAACAAACTCTGCTCTCTTCATGACAGTGAACCCAGCAGAGTGTAAAAGCCTGTGCACTGTGGTTTTCCAAAAGTGAAAATGAGGACAAAGCTTGCTTATCATGAGCAAAACGTTTCACAATGAGATATTATATATATATAAAAAGAAACAAAACAAACTGCAATTTGATTATCTTCCTAATCTCTACAATGTTACACTGCTGGAGCGGAAGAGCTGTGCACACAGATCGCTGTTAAAAAGCTTGCAAAACCTCATCTCTATTTTTGAAGAAGAGTGGGTCACATTTTCAGTCAGTATTCTTCCATCATCTAGGACCTTTCCTTTCCATCATTTCTGAGAGGAGAAAGAAACAGATAAAAGCCAGGAAAATGATGTGAATGGATTACATGGGTTGTGAAAAGACGCATGGCAGATGTTGCATTTTTAGATATTCACTTTTTAGCAGCACTCACATCTCAGGATACCCACGTTCATTGCTAAGACAGAAACAAAGGAGAAGACATTGATTCCCCAAAACACTACAAAGTGTTACTACAAGAGCACTACAGGAGTGTTTTTTTTCTGGTGTTGCATGCAAGACAGAATAGGAAAGGAAGGAAGCAGGCAGGTCAGACAGGAGGTAAGACAGACAAAAAGGCACCACTTTCTTTTTTAAAACTAAACAATTTTAATCCTTTGCAATTTAGCTACTTGCTACTTCAAGATCATGACCACAGGAGGTGTAATTATTTAAAAAAAAAGTCTACCTTGCTACTTGTCCAAAACATTTGAATTTGGGCATAAAATACCATTTTAAAACACTGCTGCACTAAGTGGAATACCTGTGACAGATTTTGCACACATTTGCAATTGCACAAACCGGTACCTATCAATTCAAGACAGTTCCTACTCTTGTATGTAATCTACTCCCTGCACTCCAGAGCATCATACAAGTATCACAGCCCATGGCCATGTTGTCCCAGTTGCTTCCAAATGCAGCCCGGCTGATGCAGCTCCAACTTTAATTAGCTTGCACAGTGTGACCCAGGGGATGCTAGGAGTATACCTCAAGTATTCATTCCTGCAGTCACCAGTCACCACCTCTGCCAGAATGTAAAAGAAGAGTTGCAGCTCAAGAAGAGAAGTTCGGGAAGCAGCGACAGCAGCTGTATCCACATCAGCATTCCGCCTGCGCAAGACACTGGGAATCAGCACTGCAAGTGGCTGGTGTGGAAGCTCCTCATATCCATCTCCAGGACACTTGGTTCAAGTAGACTTTGCTTCGGATCAGATTGATTCCAGCCCACAGCGATCCGTTCCCACACCACATGCAGTCATGGGAAACCCTTTCCTCACGGGAGGAATGGGAAACCATTCCCCAAAGGCGTGCTTGGCGCCCGGCATGCTCCTCCAGGGAGTACCACGCTGGGCTTTCCGCTGCTAACGTGGCGCTCCCCAGCCACCACTGCCCAAGTGAGACTTCACGTGCAAAATGCCTTCTTGCTGTTCATCCTTGTGGCATTTTCGAGTGTCACTGCAGTACCCAAGCGTGGACATCTCACTGCAAGGGAGAGACGGCAGCAGCAGTGCCATGAGGACACCTTCAATAAACTGGGGCCTCTCCTCCTGTGCCTGTTTTTTCCAGGCAAAATGGAGCACAAAACCTTTTCCTGGGGCTCTAGCCACTCCTTTGCTTGATAGAGTCCTGGGCCTGGGAGATGAGAGTGGACTCATGGGACCACACTGTCCTTGGGAGGCAAGATGACAACCACAGACACAAAACTGGAAAGGTTGGCAACCTCTTGGGCAGCTGATGTCCTCGATTCACTTGCCTCTCGCAGGTACCTCAGGAGCTCACAGCCATGCCTGCAAGAGCAGCTCTTGCCTGTGGGGCCCTGGAGCCTCTCTCTTCCACGTGTCAGGAGCAAATCCATCTGATAACAACTGGAGGCCACAGGAGAACTTGCTGTACAAACCAGCTGTACTCGCAGCCACCGTCTGCTGCCATCCACAGAGCCTCAGGCTGAGGGCCACAGAGCCTCCAAGGGCACATGGAGAGCGGGCTGCCCCGCCTGTCCCAAATGCTTCTTGTGGAAGGTGCACAGGGAAAAGCCAGCGAAGGAGACTATGAGATGTCTGATCAAAATCAAAGCATGCTGGGGGGGACACTCACAGCCTCCTGTAGTTCCTAAGTCCTTGTAATTTCAGGATATTTGGAAAAAAAAGCCATTTTTACCCAAGTTTCCACAGAGCGCTGTGGGCAGCCCCTCGCCATCCAAATGAAGCCCAGGGTCTGGGATTTGAGATTCAACTGATATACTTATGTTAGTGTTTTTATCTCACGTACATCAGTTGATCTTAATAAAAAGTATTATCTCTACTTACAAATCTCGCCTCTCTTTGCCTTAGTTGGGCAGTACAGTAATAAACTATGAAAACATAAATTTTCAGACAGGATGCCAGCAGTTGGCAGACTCAGGAGAACTTCTGTAAAGCAATGATTTCCAAATCCTTAAATTTAATAGCCTGGAGTATTTGTTGTTGTTATTTTTAAATTTCCCATTCCAAAAAGACTCATTTACCCTGGAAAGCTACAAATCCCTGCAATGTCTTGTCATGTAGAAAAGAGAAAAAGAACATAATTTTCGAAAAGTGCTGCTTTGGGAAATAACAGTGTTGGGGAAGATGGAGTGCAGTGCAAGCTGATTGGACCTTTACTGCCAATATATTACTCAAACCGAATGGTTCATGCTAAATTACCATCTGCTCCTTAAATTCAAATTTTCCAGATTTTAAAAGCTTCCACTGATTGTTTTAGCAAAGAATTTGCACTGTTAAGGACAGCCAGGTTTGGAAAACATCCTTTGGGTTAATTTGCAGTAAAGTAACTGTGTCTTAACCAATCTCGTAATGTGCTTAAACTGAAAAAAAAAAAAAAAAGAAGAAGAGGGATTTAGGACAGAGAAGCCCAAAACTTTGGATTTTGGATACTGCATACAACCCGTACAGGTTGAACCACCATGTTAGGAGGCCGAGCAGCAACTAGTGGAGAGTGAAACTCTGGATAGCCTGGAGGACGGCAGGGAGGGCAGGGTAAGGCCGCTGACTCGCAAGGTGTGCGTCAGGCCCGCGAGCACGGAGACAGCAGCAACCTCTCCCTGAAAGCAGAGCCCGCGCTCCTCTTGGCCAACCCGCAGGCTGATCCCAACAGCTCTTCCAGTTCCTTGGGGCAAAACAAGCTGGAGTGTGAGCATCTTTGTTTTGCTTTGCATTTATTTTCTCTTCAAAACATCTTGTCGTATACAGGGAAACTGCCTTTTAGACCCACGTTTATGAGATCTTATCTGTGATGCTTTTGTAACTCAGAGCAAGAAGTACACTCAATAGCAAGTAGAAACATATTAAATATTCCAGTTTGTCTACCACATAGACAACTCATTTACGTGCAGCTGTTGCCCGATAATATTGTTAAATTAATAAAAGAGGGGTAATGACCAAAACTGGATCCAAATGGATGCAAAAATGTTTTCTCTTTGAATGTACTTTATTTACATCAAATGCAATGAAAACAGAAAGACCATTAAAACCTCTAAATGTAGCCAGACACATTACTTCTGTAATTGAAATAATCCAACATCTCTGTAACAGTGTTATAGCCTTAATGGTAGTTGCTGGTCATGAAACTTGAAAACAGAGACACTATCTGAACATAATCCTGGTTGTTCTTATTAGTAATTGCTATAGCTGATGATTTGTCACAGCAAAGGTTGGGAAGCCAAAAAAAAAAAAAAAGCAGCACTCCCAATTTCAATCACATACACAGCATAGCTGATAATCAGCTGTTCACACACAGAAGTCAAATATATTTTATCAGAACAAACTTCTGGGTAATAATCTTTAGCTAACAAATTAAAAGTAGTATCTCACTATATCAGACACGTGCAAAGCCACATTTATAGTAATTCTTGGATGGGTCACAAACGGGTGTTGTTGAGATGATGGTGATTTTTAGGATTTATTTCCCTAAAAATAGCACCAGCTACAACAACTGTGTAAGCAAAGTACTGTTGGGAGGTATTACTAGCAGAAATTACTCAAACCACAAAACTTGGAGCTGAATTTCAGGTGCCCATGATTTTTTTTGATAATTAAATTAGTTATTTATCTAGTTTTAATTAAGTCTTGAGCTAATATTGAAGGGAGGTATTTTACATATATATGACATATATATGTAATCTGCAGCAGCATTTTAACAGGACATCTACAGATGCTACCTCTGAACGACCTTTTCTTTTGCCCTAGCAGAAGACAACTCGTGTTTAAGGTATAGAGTCTCACTTCCAGGTCACGGTGTTGAGTCAAATAGGGATTTCTACTGTTTAAACCAAAGGGCCAAGTCTGTTCGCTCGCAAGCAGCTACAGATTCAAAATTCTTCATGGAATATAATCACTACAAGGAGGAAAAAGAAAAGAAGAAAAAATGGGGCACATGCATATTATTAAAAATAAAGTCACTTGATCAACCAATGAATGCAATGGTGGAACACCCCAAAAAATATTTTAAAAAGCATTTGGATAGTAAAGAGGCCAAAAACTGGAGGTATGCAGCGACACACTCATTAGGGAAAAGCCACTAGGATAGTGGATGAAGTACAGCTGTAGAATACATCACTATCTTCAGCACCCAGCAAACCCTCAAAAGTGTAGCAACAACAAAAACTAGGTGTATTTACCACCGTGGTCCATGGCACTTGGGGGATCCTGGTGTAGGTCATTGTCATGTAGATGATCAGGAAGAAGACGGTGAGAACCCAGTAGAAGACAGCTACAAACATCACCCAGCCAAAGGCTGGGTATAGGAAGTATTCTGTTCCAGCAACTAGGGTCCACACCAGCAGCCCTAAAACCTGCGAGAGTTACAGAGGAGATAATTGTTATTTAGTTTTAGACCTTGCATTTTCATTCTAGGTCAAAGAATGGCATCATTTAGGGGCCTTTATAGGGGTTTTGGAGGGACGATGCACACCGCAGAAGACGGCAACCTGCTACTGCAGGGAACAACCACAAGCATGAAACAAAAGACAAGCCAATATTGCTTTAAAGAGAGACTGCAATTCCACAGCAACTTAGGCTGCCATAAATCAGCAGAGTAATCCCAGCCTCCTCTTTACTCCAGCCACACAAACGTGCTCCCTGACCTCGTGCAGGCAGTGCCCGTCACACAACGGTTTGATGAGCCGCTTTGCGACGCCGTGCTGACAGAACACTAAGCCAACAGAAAGGAAGAAAATATTAAACTTCTGGCTATGGCAGAATGTCACAAAGGGAAAGACAAAATTATGTGTCTGAGTGTTGATTTAGCTCCCCTTTAACAGCTAAGGAACTAAATCTGCAGTGGTTTGGCTCTTGAAATGAGTGCAATAAGCAACATAAAAAGCAACCGGGAGAAAACATCACAGGGATTCATGCTTGAATACAAGCCAGGTTGCATCCATGAAGGTAACTACTGATATTTTCCAGTCAGTAGAGTCATTTGGGAAACATGAGCCTGGAAAGAACAACGGGGATCTTCAGGTCCCATCTGCCGCAGTCATAGGTGCCTGAGCAATTAGGTTGAAAACAGTCCACAAAACACCCATGCTGTGGACTGACAGGCACCATAGGCATAAAACTGCCCCCAGAACCTTATAATAAACATAAGATGAGCAGCAGAATACCACTGGCCATAACTGTAACGCGCTGCGGGCAGGTTGGGAGCCCACACTTAAGCAAAGCCCTCAAGCAAATCCTAGCAGACCAATGTGGGGAAAAATATTCCCTCCTGATCCTGGGTTTGGCAATCTGTTCACATGTGGGATATGAATAAAATCCATCAGCCTGAGATTTTAATGTACTCTCTGCATTTTCGTCTAGTGTTTCACCAATCTCCAATGCATTTAGAAGGGTGCAGAGCAAACAACACAGCAGCCAAGTCATGTGCCAAGGGGAGAAAAGCCTGTTTTGCAAGTTGTCCAACAATTATAAAATCCCAGTTAGAAAGACAGGGATATTTTATATTTCATGCTATTAAAAAGATTAAAAAAGAAAAAAAAAGAAAAAAGGAAAAGAAGGCTGAATGCAGTCAGATTCTAGAGCTAAAATTCTTATATTTGAAAGAAGGCTCATCTCTTTCTGCTACCTGGACTATGATGAACTTCCCTAACAGTGAGACACAGAAGAAAGGCAAAAATAAAAAGTAGCAACACGCATATTTAATAGAGTCCAGCCATACCAGGGTAGACTAAAGGACCACCTACCCCAATATCCTGCCTTCAGCACTGGCTGATAGCAGATGTTTAAAGAAATATGTAAGAACAGAGCACTCAAAAGCAATATTTCTTTGATATACTTCCTTAGCTTTCAGGAATCTACCATGGAAGGACTTCCTGAGCCTAAGGTGGTATTTTTGCCACCAATAACCCTGGAGAGATGAGGACAGTTCTGCTATAGCTTCATTTGCACGAGAGCTCACTTGTTAGTTCCAAATAGGCAGGTTCTTGACCATAACCCCATTTACTTTGCTTGTGCAGAACTGAGTGTGTAATCATTAATGTTAAATCTCTAACCACTACGTTTAACGTTAAAACTAAATTATTAAACAAAAAGTTATCGTAACTGGGAACGTCCATACTCCTGCTGACTTTCAGGAGCTCGATGGTTCCTCTCTACTGTGTCTTCAGTCTGTCTCCCAACCTGCCACCCAAACTACACCGGGTCCTACGGCTGTCCTCTTGTGTCTTCACAGTGCACTCCTATGTAGGATTTATACACCCGTCCACACAGGCACCACACATACCTGAAAGCACAGCACAAATATACAGCCCACTTCTTTTGTCTTTTAAGAGATGAAGGACTTTAAGATCTTCTACGGGTATTTTTCACTACCTCTCTTTAATAGGAAGCCCTGGAGCGTGTTCTGATGGGGATAACGGTTCCTTCCTTCCCTCCTCAGCGTGCCAGGGGAGGGCAGCATTGCCTTACAAGAACAGCTCCAATAGCATTAGGTGGGTAGCTTAAAATATCCTCTCTTTTATTAAAAGTTACTAGATCAGTGGAGCTGCAGACAGTTCACTATAATCTAATTCCCATATCATTTTACTAATAGTCATAGTTCTGTTACTAATGCCTCAAATCCACAAACTACCCATGATTAGATTAAGAACTACAAGCCCGTTTTGGTGTAGCAAACACGTTAAGATTGAACAATCCTGATATGCTGTTTAGCTAACAAAATACTATTTTCTTGGGACACAAAGGTGTTTTTCATGGTGCTCATCCACAAATTATATCAATGGATAATTGGTCTCATGTTCAATAAACAATTATGAAAGACAGATTTAATGTTCATCTGTGTATCTAGCAAAAAATGAGGACAGAAATTCTGAAGATGAGACAAAGAAACTAAAGAGAGTATCTCCTTAAGCAGTATAACCTACTAACAATGGTGCTGGTTTCTGGAGAGCTTTTAGGAACAGACATAACTCTTTTTCATGAGAAGTACAAGCGTATGAAAAATGCTTAATTCCGAATTCAACATAAATAAGAGGGATAGTGACAACTCAGCTTGTGCAAATGATTGCTGCTAGAAAAAGCAAAAAATTCACAAGAAGAAAGTTCTAAAAATAAGCCTGAAAATTTTTGAATTTACACAATCATTAATCGCAGGCAATCACAAAATGTAGCTGGCCAGCCATTAACTAGAGCACTAGTGTACTCATCACTCATCGTTCTTCCAGGAGTAAACTGGTATTGTCTCTCCTCTTTTGAGATCACATACATTTTAACATTTAAATGGCTCTACATCTTGCATGTATCCAAAGATTTCTTCTCAACACATGCTTTTAGCAGGGCCCCATGAGTGGCCGAACATTTTATCTAAGCAAGTGAGATGCCTCGCAGATATTTCAGATTTATATTCTTAAGTAGTTCTTGGTTCATATACATCTTAACTCTGACGGGTTGCATATTAGAGTGTGTTTGACATTTTCGGTTAGATCCATATATTCCTACTGCATATTACTGGAGCTGACAGGCTGAAATAATATTTCAGTTTTCCTGATTAGAGCTGAAAAGGTCAGACCAGCTCACAGTCAGCTATTCATCCTGCGCGTAGCTAAGTGATACGGCAAATCGTTCCATCGCATATGTAAACACAGGCAACAAATTGGTTTAAAGTTCACGGGGCTGTCAGCATCTACAAAATACATAGGGAGCTGAAGCAACACAGACATCTAGTCAAGTCTTTCATTAATAGCTTGTTTTCTCATCATGTTAAATCCTGTGGTAGCTTCGGCAGCGTTAAGGGCCGGTCTCCTAACACCATGGCTGTCCTGCAGATGGGCACAAGCTGGACGTCCCTTACGTATCTGCTAGAGCAGAAATGCAGAATCTGGCAAATAAAAGATCCCAAAAAGCAAAGGGCATCACTCAAAACACCCGCGCAGCCCCCGCAGCCGTTCAGGAAGCAGGGGCAGCACTGCCCCGGCTTCACCAATTCACCCCCACCGGGAGGCCAGGGCACAGCTCCGCTCCCGGGAACTGGGAGGGTCTGGCGACGGATTTGACTTTAATTTATGAGCAAGTCAAGCTATGGAATACCCTTATTTTGAATTATAGGAATATAGTATGATCTTATCACAAATGATTCTGAAAAAAGGGAAAAAAATCAGGAAGAAAAGAAAAGGAAACAATTCATGTGGTGGCTGAAGAGGGGATGTGGGATCAGAAGCCTGTAATGGCTTTAGCAATTAGGCCCCGTTTTTCAAGTCAGATGGGAGCTGGGGTTTCACTCATCACTAAAGAGAAGCAGTTTTCCTATATTTATTGCAGTCTATGATTTCACCTCGGACATCTATATTGTGATCACTTGGCTGCGGCTGGATCAGGTGCCTCCATTATAGGCTGCATTAACATGCCAAGTGCACTAATGCATACTTCAGCAGTTGGCAGATACCATAAAGAGGAAATAACTCTGTAGCAAAGTCCAATACTATTGAGTGTGCAAGTTTCAAATGAGATGCTTAATTGCATATTCAAACACTTAAAGAAGTGCCATAATTTTTTTTCTGCAGCACTGAGAACTTCCAAAGTATTGAACTGTTTAGACATTAAAAAATAAATACAGGTTTGCTGCATAGCAGATGAGAGACACAGCTTGTCTTGTGATGCTGGTCAGCAGGCTGGAAAGCTGGCACGAGCCTGAACCCATGTTCAATTTTGCTTTTTCAAGCAGTTTCAAACTTGTAGGACTGAATTTGTACCTGCAAACTATATTAAAAAAGCCCGTGATGGATTCGGCCACTCCTCCCCAACAATGTTACAAATTCTGCAGCATTCATCTTGACTGCTTAGCTTGGGTGTATAGTCAAAAATGTTCATGCATCCTTTCCAAAGGGGAGAAAAAAAGTCTCACTGTGGCAGAACTGTCAGGAAAAACCCAAGGCTCATCTAATTTCATGAAATAAAAACTCCCTGGCATGTCTGCCTGAAGCTTTCCAATGTCTTGGTGCTGGAGATGCTTCCTAGGCCCATTCCACTTCCCCATAAGTATGTAAGTATTGCAGGATTTACACACTCTTGCTGCTGGCACAGACGGAACTGGTGGCAGGAGGAGACTCGAGGAGCTGCATGTCTATGGGAAGAGCCATCTCCTGCATCCAGCACCTGGACATGGGCCGAATCCGGCACGTGGGAAGCAAGACATCCCACGCCTCCTTCCCAAGGCTGAAGATTTACTGCTAGCAGAAAGAGAGACCATTCTAGATTATTGCACATCACCGTTTCGCTGCTAAACCACAACAGCACGAGCTGCCTATGAATGCCCCAAGCTCCTCCTCTTCCCTAGGCTATTCCCTACATGCAAAAACATCCCAGGAAATCTGCCGTGGACAGGGAGCTCCTGCCTGCTCCCTGCTTTACCAGCTCACTTCCAAGACCCTGGGAAGGCAAGGTTAGAGAGGCTTTTCTCCCGACACTAAGGGAGGGTAAGCAAGGATCCCTGAGGATCCCGCGCTGTTCAGGATCCCCTTACTTGATGCCGACTACTCTACTGTCCCATGGGCATTTGTATGGATTTGCCAAGATTAATGATTATTCTTCCAAATAGTTCATGTTATGAATCACGTGTCAAAACACAGGACCCTTTATTATGAATCAAAATATATAAGAAGGAAGAGAGGAGGGAAAAAGGGTAGCACAAAAGAAAAAAGGAGCGGAAGAGGGCATTCCCTGCTGCTCTTCCTGTAAGCTGAGCCCAGGGCAGCCTGAGCCTGTACTAAGCAGCAGGTGTGTTTGGCTCATTTTCGACTTCTTTGCTTTTAGCATTTAAGTAATCTCTTTAATTAGAATGTTTGGACTCTCATACGCTGTTAGTCTTATCCAGTGACATATATATACACTCAATATATATGTATATATCCATATGTGTATAAAACAAGTTCATGTTCTGCCACGAGAGGGAGCACAGTCATTGCTTTCTGTAGGAAAGTGTTCACAAGGGATGTGCCTGCACGTGGTCTTGATGGTCAGTGAAAGGAAGGTGGGTTTATTTCCCCCTACAAGAATTATCTGCTAGGGAGAGAAAGCTGGAGAGGGGAAAAACAGAAATGTGTGGAGCCAGTTCTTAGAGCAGCTGTAATATCCAGGGGCAGCTTGCATATGGTACCAAAAATACAGATTCGAAAGGACTTGCACAGAAGAACAGATCTATATCCAAGGAGTTGGCTGAGTCACCTACATGGAAACCTTTTTACAAATGTTATAATAAATTAGAGTGTCTCTGCAAAACAGCTGTAGTTAATAGTTTCATCATCATAGCGGACATTACACATGTAACAACAAAATCAAATGCAGGTTATCTACAAACCACTCGTAGTAAGGATGGATTATTTGCTTTATTCAAGAAATACTAGCTAGAAAAAATATATTTGTGAATATCTATAGAAGGGAAAAAAAGCCTAAGAAAAAAGTATGCTGAAAGCTTATAGATATTGGATGAATCAATACAGTATCAGCCTGGACTAAACTACAGTCTAGCAGTTATCTTTGTTTAATTCTCAAAAATCTTCTTTGTGTGTGTTTTGCAGTTAGATAAAAGGTGGTTAACATAATTTAAAACTACTTTTAGAACTGGAAGGATTCCAATTTCTATTACAACTAGGG